CGGGCCAGGGCGGGGGGCGCGGGGTCCCCGGGTCGACGCCGCCCGCCTGACGCTCCCCACCCCGCAGCGGCCTTAATCGTGCGCGACCAGACCGAGCTGCGGCTCTGCGAGCGCTCCGGGCAGCGCACGGCCAGCGTCCTGTGGCCGTGGATGAACCGCAACGCCCGCGTGGCCGACCTCGTGCGCATCCTCACGCACCTGCAGCTGCTCCGCGCGCGAGACATCATCACGGCCTGTGAGTGCGGCCGGTGGGCGGGGAGGAGGGAGCCGGGGCCGGGAGCTGCCACTCACTCTCCCTTCCTTTCCTCCGCGGCGCCCAGGGCACCCTCCCGTCCCCGTCCTGCCCCCCAGCGCCACCACCCCGGCCCTGGGGCCCAGCAGCATCTCTGCCCCCTCCGAGGCCAGGAGCCCCAGGAAGTGGCAGCCCTCAGCCTCTACTCTTCTCTCCCCAGGTAAGAAACAGGGCTGCTGGACTCGGTGGGTTTGGAAAAGGGGTCCCTTGACTGTGGCCTCTCACTTTTCCAGGCTCCCAGAGCCCACCTGGCCCCGAGTTGGACCCCACAGCACACCCAGCTGCTGTACGGCCAGCACTGCCAACTCCAGCCCCTTCCTCCACCGAGGTAGGTGCCCCGAGCCCCTGGGGAAGGCCCTAGGCAGGGAAGAAGAAACAAGCCTTTGTTATGTGCAGAGCCCCAGGGAGCAGACTGACAGCCAGCCGGGAGGCAGCTGGGGGCCCAGGGCCAAGGGAGGAGACCCCAGACAGCTGAGCCCACCTGCCAGGCCTCCTCCCACAGCCGAGCCTGGAGAGCCCACTGGCCGTGCTGCAGGGGGCCCACCCCGCCCCGTTCTGCTGGCCCCTCCCGGAGGTTGCCCAGGGCACTCGCAACTTCTCTGAGGAGCTCAAGGTCGGCGAGGGTGGCTTTGGCTGCGTATACCGGGCTGTGATGAGGAACACGGTGTACGCTGTGAAGAGGCTGAAGCAGGTGCGTGTGTCCCCCTCCCCTTCAAGGTTCCCGGGCTGCTCGGTCACAGGGGCTGGGACAGGTGGGAGTGGGAGCAGAGAACAGCCTTGGCAAGCAGAGCCTCACGCTGCCTCCCGTCCACTCCCCGGGGCGCCGGGGCTGCAGGACGCCAACCTGGAGTGGAGCGCCGTGAAGCAGAGCTTCCTGACCGAGGTGGAACAGCTGTCCCGGTGAGCCACTCTCCCGTCCGCCCCCAGGCCTGTGCCAGCCTCGCTAGGCCCCTCCACGGCCAGGGGGAACGTGTGGCAGGGGCGTGGGGCCAGGCACTCAGTCCCCTCTTTGGTGAGCAGGTTTCGTCACCCGAACATTGTGGACTTTGCCGGCTACTGCGCTCAGAGTGGTCTTTACTGTCTGGTCTACAGCTTCCTGCCCAATGGCTCCCTGGAGGACTGCCTCCACTTGCAGGTACCCTCGTCTGAGCTGGCGCAGGGCCCTGGAGCTGTGGCACACGTGGAGTTGGGAGGAGCTGGGCCTCAAGCCTCGCTTGGACTCTGCGTGGCCAGGAGGGCCCGGGTGCCCGGCTCCTCCCAAGCTCGGTGGCCATGCCCCGGAGTTGGGCCCTCTGTCTCTCAGCAGCGGGGTCCTTGGAGGAAAGCAGCCCAAACTTCTTTCCTTGTGTGCCGAGGAGCCAAAGGGCGGCAGCAGCACAGCCCCGAGAGAGGGCCTCAGTGGGCAGCTCTGAGCGCGTGGGCTCAGCATGGCTACTGCTAGGGGCGAGGCTGTAACGAATCCCCAAAACAGACTTCACCTTTAAAATGCTTTGCGGAGCCCGGGCCAGCTTAACCATCCCCCTTGTGAAGTAGGTAGTGGCAATTTTGATCTGCTTTTTCCCCAAAGGGGAAACTGAGGCCAAGGTGGGGGTCATGCACCCAGCAGAGAGCAGCAGGGCTTCGAGGGCGGTCTGGGTTACCCCAGCTCCTCCTGCCTGTATTCCTGGATGCCAGCCCATGGTCAGGAGATGGATTCAAGCCCTAGCCCTGAATTGGCAGGGATCTGGGAGGGAACACATCCCTGCTCCTCACTAGGTAGGTCTCAGTTTCCCTACCTGCAGAAGAGACTCGGGATACCTGGCGCACCCAGAACGGGCTCTGGCGCCGCGTGCCCCGCCATCTCGCCCACGTTCTCCCCTCCTGGTCCGTGTGTGTGGCCTGAGCCGCCCCTCCGGCCACTGCCTCCTTTCCCTGCCCTCTCCACCTGCTGCCTCTCCGCCGTCCCCAGTGCTCACCAAATCCTCAGAAAATGAAGTGGCCAGAGGTGAGGGGAAGGCTGGAGTCAAGGCACCAAAGTGCAGCAGCTGCCTCTCCAGCTCCCTGTACCCTCTGCCCTCCAGGACCAGGCCTACACCCCGCTCTCCTGGCCTCAGCGAGTGGACATCCTTGTGGGCACAGCCCGAGCAATCCAGTTCTTACACCAGGACAGCCCCAGCCTCGTACATGGGGACATCAAGAGGTGACTCCTGCCCCGAGGCCTGGGACATCCAAGCTGGGGGTCTGGGGCTGCTGAGGGCCCCAGCATCAGATCCGTGTGGAAACGGCGGCCAACGGCCCCGGGTTGAGCAAGGGCCAGAACCAGGGGAAGGAGTCCTGGAGCTGGCCCGCTCCCCTCCAAGGCCCTAGCGGGTGCACCCACCCAGCTTTCTGTCAGCAGGGCAGCAGGCATGGGATGAGCCAGGCTGCCAGACTCTGCAGGCAGCCACAGACAGCTGTCCTGGGGCAAAGCTCCGGCTTGGTGGCCCTGAATTCCGTCATATCACGGGTCAGGGCCAGGCAGCAGGGCCAGAGCCAGGCTGATGCCGCCTCTTCCCTCCCCAAGCTCCAATGTCCTTTTGGATGAGAGACTGATGCCCAAGCTGGGAGACTTTGGCCTCGCCCGTTTCAGCCGCCTCACTGGTGCCAACCCTGGCCAGAGCAGCACCGTGGCCCGGACCCGGACCATACGGGGTACCCTGGCTTACCTGCCCGAGGAATACATCAAGACAGGGAAGTTGGCCGTGGACATCGACACTTTCAGCTTCGGGGTGGTAAGCTGCTCGCTGGCCCCCTTGGCTGCCCAGGGAGGGGACACCGCGGATGGGCACAGGCGGGAGGGCCTGGAAGTTCCCCGTGGGGGCCAGAGGCGCCTTCTCAGCCCTATGCCTCACTTCGTGTTGACGACTTTGCCTTCTTCGTCTTGTCGTTTCGTCCCTGAGCCGTGGCCCCACATCCAGCCTGGACCCCAGTTCTCTGTAGCCAGGCCGCTGCTCCACTGTCCGCCTGCCCTCTTCCCAGGTGCTGCTGGAGACCCTGGTGGGCCAGAGGGCTGTGAGGACACAGGGAACAAGGACCAAGTACCTGGTGAGCCAGCTGCTGGGGCAGCCCTGGGGGAGCAGAATGGTCCAAACCATGGGGCCCTCGAAAGCTGCCCTCTGCTGCTGCCACTGAGATGGCACCCCCTGCCCTGCTGAGAAGCCCGTCTCCTGTGTGCGCCCCAGGCCTTACAGGCCCACTTGGGCGGGCGCTGGGTCCGAGGCTGGTGGGGTCCTCTGGACCAGAGTGCAAGGTGGGGGTCATGCACCCAGCAGAGGGCAGCAGGGCTTCAAGGGCGGTCTGGGTTACCCCAGCTCCTCCTGCCTGTCTTCCTGGATGCCAGCCCATGGTCAGGAGATGGGTTCGAGCCCTAGCCCTGAATTGGCAGGGATGTGGGAGGGAACACATCCCTGCTCCTCACTAGGTAGGTCTCAGTTTCCCTACCTGCAGAAGAGACTCGGGATACCTGGCGCACCCAGAACGGGCTC